AACGCACATGCACAAGCCACCCAACACAATTAGCGATTCATTCAAATCACGACAGAGCAACTGACATTATACCGCAGCGCCCACGAATCGTTCGTTGTCCTTACAGGCAAGCGCACGCGCTAAGCAACGCACATGTACAGCCACCCAACACAATTAGCATTCATTCAAATCACGACAGAAGCACTGACATTTATACCCCAGCGCCAACGAACGTTCTCGTTGCTTAAACAGCAAAACGCGCACGCGCTAAGCAACGCACACTGCACAGCCACCCAAACACAACTAGCGTATTCATTCAAATCACGACAGAGCAATGACATATACCCCACGCGAACGAACGGTTCTCGTTGTCCTTAACAGCAAGCGCACGCGCTAAGCAAACGCACACAGCAAAGCCACTCAATACAATAGCGATTCATTCAAAATCACGACAGAACACTGACATTATACCCAGCGCACGAACGACTCGTTGTCCTTAACAGCAAGGCGCACCGCGCTAAGCAACGCACAACAGCAAAGCACTCAATTACAACTACGATTCATCAAATCACGACACGAGCCACTGACATTATACCCTCAGCGCCACGAACGTCTCGTTGTCCTTAACAGGCAGCGCACGCACTAAGCAGCTCACAGCACAGCCACCTCAATACAAACTAGCATTATTCACAATCACGAACAGAGCACTGACATATACCCAGCGCACGAACGTCTTGCGTTGTCCTTAACAGCAAGCGCCAACGCGCTAAGCACGCACACTGCACCAGCCACTCAACTATCAACTAGCGATCATTCAAATCACGACAGATCACTGACATTAGACCCCAGCGCACGAACGTCTCTTGTCGGCTTACAAGCAAGCGCACGCGCTAGCAACGCACACTGCACAGCCACTCAATACAACTAGCGATTCATTCAAATCACGAAGATCACTGACATGTATAGCCCAGCGCCACGACGTCTCGTTGTCGCTTAACAGCAAAGCGCAAGCGCTTACAGCAACCGCACACAGCACAGCCACTCAATACAACTAGGCGATCATTCAAAATCAGCGACAGAGCAACTGACATATATCCCCAGCGCCACAAGAACCGGTCTCGTGCCCTTAACAGCAAGCGCACGCGCTAAGCAGCGCACACAGCACAGCCACCCAACACAACTAGCAATACATTCAAATCACGATAGAGCACTGACATTTCACCCCAGCGTGACGAACATCTCGTTGTCCTTAACAGGAAACGCATACAAAGCAACTCTTTTGGCAAGGCACAAAGCATAGACACTAAATAATACTGGCATTACATTTGCATCAAGACCGAGTACTGACATTATAACCCGGCTCAAAAAAGTCTTGCTGTTCTGATGGCAAACACTCGCTCTGAGCAACATGCTCAGGAGCACACTCAGCGCAGCTTGTAAACAGAACTAGCATTGTATTCGAATCATTTTGAATTTTGACATTATACCCATTATATCCTTCATAACATCCCGATCTGCTCACCTACAGCACATTCCTGATATTGTTTTATAGCGATTTCAATCTTATTGTACACTTTAAGAAATTCCTGTCTGGGTAACTTTGTGCTTATTCAGTGTCACATAGTTGTTTGTTAATGATATACACTGATACCTGGGTCACGTCATGTAGGTACAAATATTGAAACCACTGAATGACACATATTTCAATTCTGGCGGATGAAGGCAAATATTGCCACCTGAACTGACTCTCCTGGGAGCTATAAGCTACACGAGCTGAAATGTAATAATGATAATAGTGATGATATCATGAAATAAATGAAAGTATGAAAATATATTTTCAATCATTTTGAACATGTCGTACTTCCCACCCTTAGCGCGTAGTTCGACTAAGAATCGCTAGATGGAATATGTAGCACGATTATTAGAATAAATTTAGATACGCATGAGTATAGATTGAAAATTGATGAGAAAGAAATATTCTAATAAAAATAAGTGGTGCAAATAGTGAAGCGGTAGTAGTAAGCTTGAATTGTGTGTATCTCTGTTTACAGGTAAGAACAAAATATTGTAAATAGTTTTTGTATAATAATAGAAATTATAGTTGATAAAAACGAATAAAACTCCAATCTGTTTACAGGGAAACATATTTTGGTTAATTATTATGCTGCATAAATAATTGTCTTATACATATACACATGCATAAACACATACACATACATAAAAATATACATATACCTACAGGATGTCCGTGAAGGAAATGTCGAAACTTCGCAAACAAGCAATTGTAAACCTTTTTTGTCTAATAAACTACTGGAATATTCCAAATGAATCAGCTGCAATAAGATCTCGAAAGTTGGTTTGAGAAATGCTTTCTATGCAAAAATTGGCATTGAAGAATAATAGAAACCCTCCAGAAACATGCACACAGTTTATTATTTACAAAGTATTAGTTTATTAGACCAAATTTGTTTAAAGTGTCTTGAGAGTTTATTTGCGAAGAGTCAACAGTTCGGTTGTCTGAGAAAAATATTATATAACTGCATATCCTTAAGTAGTATTCACGTGTTGCGTCCGTTTCTCCGTCCTTGCGTTACTCCCGGCAAACCACTTCCTGATATACAATCCAGACAAATAAGGCGTTATTTGACGCGTTTCAGTATCCTAATGGGAAACTGATGTTTCGTTTGCAAATCCATCGACAATAATCAAAGAAACTTCTCTAAAAATATGTTTTTTGCTCTTTTTATGCAATTGAAAGGTCTTTTGAGCTACTTACTGGCCTACTGAGGTGAGCATTATGTTATTTGAAGGCAAGCTATAAAGGGTTGTGTATTTTGAACTTCAGAGTTACAGAATCATGTATTAATTTGCAAGACCATTGTTGGGAACTAAGAATTTATGAGAAAAAACTTGTTCACATTTCTCACAGTAAAATATTCCCGAAACGCGAAACAAAATCATGATGAACACAAAAGACAGTTTCGCGCTCTTTCCGACCTGTCAACCTTCTGAACCTTTCGATCGAAATCCCCACCGCCATGCCAAGAGAGTGTCTACAGGGATTCGCGATGGAACTGTGATGACAGCTACATGAATTATGAGGCGCAGGGCTTGTATCGAATAAAAAAGGCTCATCGAAGGTGTTGCCATCCTGTAGAATATTTATCGTTTTATAGAATTATTATTTATTAGTATTTTTTATATAATTCCATACTATCCTAGCAAATTATTTTCTATAATTTGTGGGATAATTTTAACTATAAAACAATATTCTAATATAAATCTATAAGATTTAAGTATTTTCTAGAACAAAAGCACTGAAATGTACAAATGGTATTTGCTCTTGATCGTCTGCCATCTGGTAATAGCCGAAAGAATGCACTCTTCAGAACACATCTTCTGAAGCGTTTTGATTAGGGGCTGGGAAATCGTATTGTGGAATATGTAGTGGCCGCAGCTCGAAAGAACATCTCCGAAGAAGAGCTGTGATTACACATGTTTATGTAATTTCTTATAATTTTAATTCATATTGTTTTCCCCTACTACGATCGAGAATGAAAAACTTGATAACTATATCTTTGAAATTATTTGTTATTTAGAACTATCAAAGCAGAAATTCTCAACATATGAAAACATTTCTAAAACAGTTGAGATCGTCGGCGACACCCAATTTAGATTATTTTCACATTTCATTTTACGAACAAGTGGCTACATATGACATTAATGTAATTTTTACCGTTGGATTATACAAAGTAGAATTTTGAAATGTTCGCTAAAATTTAATTCTGAATTCTACATAATTGCTTTAGCATGCCATGTCCATGAATTCCAAGAATTTTGTCATATTTTTATAAATGTCGTATTTTTTAAAATTTGCTTATTTTACGCATTAATAAAATGTATATATTTTTGCTTTTAACTTGAATTACACATATACGCTGTTCAGGTACACATTTCACATTTCTTGACGCAATTCGTTTATATAAAGTATCACACTAATATCTGTTTTGAATATCAGAATTCTAAAAAAATACATTTACCCTCCCAACCAGCGAAAATGGGTGTTTACTAAAAATAACGTGAAAGATAACTAACATAATACAAGTAACGCTTCGTGCACAAATGTTAATTGCCAATTTTTATTTTATTTTTAAATTAAAAATACATCTATAACGTAAAATTAAAATAAAATGATTACATGTTGCCAGTCTGTTGCCTTTCTGAACGAGCTAATTAAGACCTCACTGATACACTAGCAAATACACACAAGGGTGCACATCCTTCGGGCGTTTATATTAAATCAATTCTAGAAAAGATTGAACACAAATCGAGAGAATAGCGTCTAAACCACATGTTCTTTTGGCATTCGCTATTGGCCCAACAGGCGATAGTCCAACGTTCACGAGCATTACACCATTAGAGATATTTCCTTCTGCCCCTAAAGCATTACCATTCAACAGCGTTCCCTCTTGTGAATATCAACTAACTCTTCAAGGTAAATAAAGCAAATAGCTTCTTAAGGAAAAAGGCTATCATACTTCGGGGTGGAATTTTTATAATTAAAGTACAACTAAGTTTTGTGTATCTAAATTATCCAGGCGCAAGCCTCCCCATCATCGAAGTAACTCCTTCCTGGTGAACCCTGCTGCTCCAGACGGCAGGAATGAAATTACGCACTAATTATACATGAATTTTCGGAGCCATGGGGTTTCCCAAGAGAGAATTCGCTGACGAAAGGAGCGGGTGGTGTGAAACAACCGGGAGGTAGCGGGGCAAAATCGAAGTTGGAAGGCGGTGACATGAGTTGGGGGTGTGGCGGGGTGCATTATGATGCAACAAATGATACAAAATACATTTCAGATATAAAAATCATTTACTGCTCTAATAAAAAATGACAATGGCTGTTAACGGGCCCGGAAACTAATTAATTAATCAATAAGTGAAATTAATAATAAGTATTTGCGCTTAATTTCACCCCCATTAAGAGACGTGTTCAAACTCTTTCAGACAGGGTCAATATAACAAACCATTGTCGTTTCCAACCAAGAAAGTTTTACAAAATATTTCTTTCACTTTTGTTATGTGAACATCCATCCATCCCAAATTTGTGTAATATATTTATTGATTTTTGTCGCAACTCCGTATGCATATTTACTAATCATTACTACAGCAAAACTCATCTTAATCAGTCTCGGACAAAAGTGTCATTACATACCTGCTTCTCCAAATTTATATTGATTTTGAGAATACTTTAAAAAATAAACTTATACAAATACTGCAAGAGAAAATAAACTAATTTATTCCTATGAAAATATAAAAATTAAATATGTTCAATTACGTTAGAATGAAGTCATTCCCACTTTTATATTGGCTATTTCTGATTTGTTAATTTAGGGACAATTTTATAACAATTCCAAATAAATAGTTTCTTTTAGTACAACATAAAAACAATACTAAGTTTTAATTCTGTTAGTAATGTTAATATTATTAAAAATTAAATAATTTGCACAACTTTCTATGTAGTAAAATTACGTTAAGAAAGAAATACACTGAGAATAATTCGTGCATTCAGGTTGAACGAATGACCTGAGAAGACTTTACTTTCTGTCGAGTCCACAAAGTTCTTCAGAAACAGTCAACATTCAAACGTTTGTCACTCTGCATATTAACCCAGTTATAGGCCAAGAAAGAAGAAAGGCCAAACGTCGCTTGGTGACCTTTCTCGATGATCGATAGAAAGGCACTTAGAACGCGCCCGCCCGCCCTCTGCTGTCGGGTGGAAAACATGTGTTAGGGCAGCGCGCACGAAACGTCGTCAGAGCGCACAGGTCGTGTTCGCGCCAAGGAGAATCGAGCTCAGAAATCAAGGAGACCTCGCCACGGGAGAGGGTCTACAAGCAGATAATGGTGGAAGAACGTAATGCCATTAAACATGAACATGGGAGGACGGACAGGGTTATATATTTCCGGGTTATTATGCAGAATGAAGTTATTCTCAAAGGGTAACACCGGGTAAGACGGTAAAAAGTTTCCTTAAACCTTCACTCTAACTCTAGAAGAAATATTTTGCAATGTCTCCGTCCCACCACCTATACTTCTCTATAGCCAGAAACGTGTTTTTACTTTTATTTTTTTCGTTAACTGCCACTATTTTATTTATTTATTAATGGTGGCAGCAACAAGCTGTTGTACACGTATTTTACAGACGGTGTTTTATTTGATTGAAAGAAATTAAAAATGAGAAAATAATGTGTACTCACAGAAAAACATTTTTTGAGATTTTCCCAGCCCAAGTTCAAACGTAAAGAAATTGTTCAAAAAAGAAATTGTACTGTATTAATACTCTGGAACAGGCTCAAAAGTTCCTCTCAAAACCAAAATTGTTGTGATTTACTTAAGACTTTTTCTCTTGGCTGCAGTGAAAAGAACAACACTTTTCAGCATTTTCCCGCCTTAAATTCACCGTGATTTTATCTACTGTTTTCTATTTGTTCCTGTGGTGGTATATGCACGGTATATATGTACTGTTTTCTATTTGGTCAATTGCGTTTTCACGTCCCACGTTACTTCGAGGTACGCTTGGTGAATTGAAAATATTCGAATATTTGTATGTTGAAGTAATGACCTCGAAAGCAGAATGCAAAACTTTTCACACAGTTTCATGACAATTACTCTAAAAAAATAGTATCTTCCTTGAAAATATAGTGGTACTCGTATTTAAAGTAACTCAATTTCCAATATGTATAATTAATTTAAACAACACTGTATTTGATTTTAATGACTAAAATGAAGACATCGTGAAAAATCAAAATTAGATGAATTACACAAATGTAAAATTTCTTTTAACTGATGAAATATATTGAAAATAAAGCCAGAAAGGTTGTGTGAAACAACTGCGACTTTTTTGCGTAATATATGCTCGGGTGATAAAAGACGAATATTCTCTACTCTAACTCTCAAGACAAGCACGACCAGTAGTTCATTTACAAAATTTTGTTTACCTCGCAGAAGTTCATTCGTTCCAACAGCAAGAAACGCAATCGCTAACCAAATATCCTATAATTCGCATTATCTCTACCATTCATTTTATTGATAATTGTGTCAGTACAGTGACATCCTATCAGCGTATCCGGGAAGATGTGATTAGCGAGAGAATCTTGAACGAAAAACACTAATTAAATCTGATCCCGATATTTTTTAAGTTTGCGAGCCTCAATATACCCACGATATTACGTTGAATTGTTTGTCGTTTCATTCATCAAGCTTTAAAACATGTTACATAATATTGTTAAGGAATAAAGTCAACAGCCACGGTGAAAATAATCACTGTGCACTTGTACGAGTAGTGTGCTAAAATTAAGTGCTATTCTAATGTGATTATGCACATGCATCTGGGTGGAATTTTGGCTCGAATAAATTTATTGCCCTCTGAATTTTTGAAACGAAATGTTGGTTACATAAAACATTTTTAATCTCGTTAGAAGTCAATTCGATTTGCATATTCGGCAGTAAAGCTAAAAAAAAACTAACAACCCCACCAAAACATGTACAACATTTGGTTCACGATACGATATACGATGAGTATTGGTAGAGTAATAATTAGTAAAGAACACAATGAACACATGCAAATGGTTTATAAGATTTTTTAATTCACATCCGAGTAACCTCGTTTAATATTTTAAAATATTTAATTTATTTTTTCATTAAGGGTGTTATATTTCTGTTTGAGACATCCAACTATTGCAGAAGGTGCAAGAAACAATATTTTCTCTTACAAAATATAAGTTATATATATATATATATATATATATATATGATATTAGTGGAACAATAAAATCCTTTTTCCACGTGTTTCACACACCACTGACATTCACTTCAATTCAAATATACAAATAAATTAATTGGGTTCCTTATTGAGTATTTAAGATCACTCGTAGCTCATGACACGAAAGTATTTTTTCTTTATTGCATGTACCATTTTATCTATATATTTGAACATTGTCACACTTTAAGTACTAGTGCTAAAAATTGGAAGTTTAGGATTCTGTACATGCTCTATATGTAACTGCTTTTACTAGTGGCTGCCTAAAAACAATTTTTTTCTGGATCGTATAAAACTGCTTTTATTTCAAATCAATACATCTCTCCTCATTTCTTCTGTACTCTTCATGGTAATCGAAACAAAGAACCATCTTGAACACCGTATATTGTGATGCTGTACTGTGTATTCCGAAACCGAATGTTATTTATGTGTGCTTCGATCATGATAAGAGGTGATTGTTGAAGTAACATGAACTATTCTCAGTTCGGTTACGGGACCTTCGCAGTGGTGACCCATTTGGCAACATGGAAAAACGCAGTACTTGGAGCTACGACATGCGTGGGGTAATAGGAGCATGACTTAATATAGTAATAATGCAACCTCACTAATTGACTATCAGCAATTATTTCTGCAACAACAAATTTGCTACGTACAACAGCAACTTCGAAAATAAACAAATCAAGGATGTCGCTCCCAGGAACAACAGTTATTACAACAGCAACAACGTTTGCAACTGCAAATACAGTAATTTACAATTTAACATAAAAACTATAATTACGGTAGTAACAACAATAACCCTTGCAGAGATACTCTTCCCAGCACATAGGCTGCCAACCTCAATCAGCAGACCTTGGTAACATCTACGACTTTTAAAACCCTTAGTCCTCGTCACAATTATATTTTCTTAGTAATTCACCCTCATCCAACTATCCACTAAATAATTCCACATCATATTCTCAAACTCCACTTTCTGAGGACCCAAATTTGGTTGTCCTGTGTAACTTAAATAACTGCATAACTAACCAAAAGAAACTATACTTGCCAAGTAAAAATTTGAACAGTGAAATGTCTTTTAAAAGGAAATATTTTAGATAGCTTAGTAGAATGTAAAAGCACATTTTTACGATAATAGAAGATAATTTGAAAATATGCAAATATTTTCCAACTGTTGTTTGAAAAGAAAGTTTATGTACTTACTTACTTACTTGTGATTGTTCATTAATTTACTTACTTTAATTTATTTACTGTAAATACGATACAAAAAAAAAGAATTTTAAAATTTCCAATACAAATTCCATCAAGAACCATTAAAGACCTATTAAGAATCGTGTGTCTCTATTTATGGGACAGAGAGGCGCAGGCACTGGCATGTATGTTAGGGTGAAGGAGGAGCAAAGACATTTTCTTCCTCTCCGGCTAAGGCTGCAGCATCACCACATGAGTCGGCAGTGTACGTGTGTGTGGGTGTGTAGAAGCGGAGATGGTAGACTCACCTTCTGGTCCGCTCACTTGGTGTTGCTCTTTGGCTTAAATTGCAGCTTCTCCCTTGAGATGTGTGTGTGTGTATGTGAGCGATGAAGGCGCACTCACCTTCCGTCCCGCCCTCTTGGGGTTGCTCTGCGGCTGGGACTGCAGCTTCTCCCCGTGCGGGGGTTGGCGGGGCAGCTTGCGGTACATGAGCTTGAACTCCTCGATGGGCGAGAAGCTCACCACGGACCACGTGAGGTTGTAGCGCTCGGTGTAGCGGCCCAGGGGGTTGCTGCCAAACTCCGCCGTGTTGGGCACTCCTGCGCACACAAACAGAGATATGTTAAGATGAATCAAAAGCTAATAAAACTGTTTTAAATATCATTCGTCAGTATTTAAGTTGGAAGCAAACAAACGTTTCTTGGGACTTTTTGCTACTTGCCGTTTTGCTATCATTCCTCAATTAGAAGATTCAAGATAAGGAGGGAATGTCAGGCGACAGAATTAACCTCACTAATAAATCTGGATTTCTCAGTTTTATCCGCACTTGATGCAATCTACCTCAAAAAAGTCTATTAAATAGCCGAGTTGAGGAATTATTATCTTTCGGAAAGAAACTAGATCCCAAGAGCTTAAATTTGATATTTTCGTGGTTTCCTCCAATCAATTAGTAGTGAATGCCGGAGCAGTTCCTTTAACAATGGAGAACATACCGCCACAGTGCGTTTTCATATCATTAAATTTACTCGAATGAACCACTCATCTAGAAAAACATCGTCAGCTCTGCGAGAAGACTCGAATTTGGCCGTATCGCCATATGCCAAAGAAACTTCCCTACGCCACAGACACAAATGTTAATTTTCAGGCGAATTTTCCTAATGAACGGCATAAGCAATACACAACATATGTTAATTTTAAGCTTCGTACTTCCACTTGCTGAATGCGAACAGCGTCTCTGAAACTTCTGTGTCAGAATATATTGTGAAACAGAAGTGTACGCTGAGCAATCATTTCGCTTCTGCTTCTGAGCCAAAGCCGCAACATCCCACGCGCCCCCTACTTTGCGACGCACACTGTCGCTTTCGTCACTCCGGCGCGTAGCAGCGAAGCGAAAAGCGAGGCGTCATGGAATCGCATCGTGACGTCAACATGTGACCTGCAAATAAGCCCACAGGCGAAAAGAAACTCGTGTTTTTCGAGCAGTTCATGCAAAACTGGTCACAATTGTCTGCTTAGAGCAAATCTTTTAATTTGTGCAAACACAATAAAACGTTAAATAGCACCACAACAGTAAAACTGTATAAGAATAGTAGAAAGAATTGTTGAAAGCAAAAGCAAAAATTAAGAAATGCACCAAGAATTAATTCTTATCTGCCTGGCGTGCCCTTCTGGGCATGCTTTACGAGTCTGTCGTTTTTTCAAACTTTCACTTTAACATGCTCTAGAAATTCAGTCAGAACTTCATGTTGTTTTTCATAACATCCTGTGGTCATCATGTGCATTTTAAAAATGTGAGAATTAAAAAAAATAATTATAGAAAAGTGTAATGAATTTGTTTTAAAAAATAATTCTGGCAGATAAGAGTTAATTTGAATCGTGTTTTTTTTTGGACAAGTTTTAGGATAAAAGATATGTTCAAAAGAAATAACTCGTTCTATATTAATGCAATAGTCGAAAGAAGTACCCAAAGGCGATTTTCTCCGATTAACATATAATACAAATATTATAAAACGATTTAATGCATTTTTTTCGAAAAGTAATCAGTGCTCATGAAATTTGAGCGTAGAGAAAAAAATTAATTAGCAAAGAGCTTATTCCAAACATAGGTACTTATGACTTACGCCAAGAGAGAAACAGAGATCAAGAAATAGTAATTGGTAATATTGGACGATAAAGTATAATTATCGTCGTGTGTAACATTTGATTTGATTTAATTCCGCATTACTAGCAATATGCTCCCTTTTTGTCGCTTACGAGTCTTACGCTTACGGTCTACTATTTCTTTCTCACTTCACTTACCCTGTATACCATATCTTGATTATTGTGAACTGAATGTGAGTAAAATGCAAAATACGCTTCAAAAATGTTCTTCGGACTTTATTAATTCATTTTGGATTATGTCTACATTAACCGGCTAACGCTGGAACTCAGGAAATTTGGACTTTAGCCGTAAAATATACATTGTTTTTAATTGAAATGAAAAGGTAAGATATTACGTACCATATTAAATTATTGAATTGAAGCCTGATTTTACGTAGGGAGACTCGGGCCATCAGGCCCGCTCTTCCGTCTGACCACGCAAATTTCGCTACGCTCCCTTCACCCACTTGTAGAAAAAGGAGGTATTTCTTGGGCGTCGAAACAGACAATTTGAATTTAGCACAGAGACTTCATTTAGCCTTCAGGATCTTTTACAGCGGGCTTTACTTCCCCTCCGAAGGAAGGCGTGCGAATGATTTTTTCGATCGGGTTTCACCCCGCCAACTTGGGTATAACAGTTCGATACGCTGACCGTTACACCATCGCCGCCGCACATGTTTGGAGGGTTAATAGAAGTAATGGAATTGTGGAACAATCGAAAGGCTAAAACCAAAGAGAGAAAATAAATTGAAATTAAAATGATTTATGGATACTATACGAAGGTTTTATGAAGATTCAGATGATAGGTATAACGAGCGAATTGCAAGTATTTGAGTCACAAATATTTCTCAGTGTACGAGAATACAAAGTTTCTCTCCTAAGCGATACGACCTTTTCCCACCTCTGCGAATCATGGAACTTATGAAAACGCGCTGCGAGAAAACGATATCAATTTGTCACAACTGAGCTTGTTTCTCGACACACAACGTCGAGAGATGTAAGCAGAAACAAGCAGTGAACCGTGTTCGCGAATCGCATGCGGAGATCGCTACGTCGACTAGTGCGAAAGATCTACCCCTCTAGTAGAGGCAGACGGGCGGGCGGAGGGCAGCGAGGCGGTAGCGACCTAGAAAACAGGCAGTTCCTGGTTTGTGACGGAGCACCTCGGCTCACGCCACCTCCAAGCGCCGAGGGGGCAGGCGCAAGAAGGCGGCCAGGGAACAACGACTCGCCTGTTTAACCCCCGGAAAGTTGGTTCACGTCGGCCTATGCTTAAATGTGCTCGGTGCTTTTCGAAGGTCGCTGGTACGGTCTTTTTAAATCTCAAGTCAATAAGTTAAGTATTTTCTGTGCCGTAACCCACTACCAACTCTTTCTTTTTTGTGTGTTTTACTATTTATTTGCTATAATATATTCTGTTAACGCATTTATTGGATACATTTTTGTTCATTTGCGACGAATTTTTGAATCCGGTTCGGGCATGATTTGTATTTGTTATGCGGGTGATTAATATATTTTTACTAAAATTGGTAATATCATCGAATTTTAGACCGATCTGGATGGCGGTGGTGGCGCAGAGCGTGTAGCGACTCACCGCATCAGTCTGAATGATCGCGGGTACGAGTCCCGCCTTGGACATGGTTGTTTGTTCCTTGTCTCACATGTTCGTGTTGTCGAGGAGGGCCTCACGTTAAGCTGATCCCAGAACACAAGAGCACGTAGAGCGTTAGTGTCATGTGTATGGTATAAAATGCGACCCATCGGGACATAAAGAGTAACCGTCTGTAGGCTGAAATCAGCCCTAGGAAAAAAATCACATTTTTTGTGACCTGTTATTGCAGCTTATTCTAGACAGCCGACATGTACTTTCGAGTATTGCGTCCACCAAAGGATCTCTCTCTTCATTGTATCGAAGGATATCTTAAAAGTCTGCTGATGTTTTTCCCATCAAAATCAGGCTGCATTGGGGAAAACTTTTTAATTACAAGCGCCTTAAAATAAAAAAATGCTTTCTCCTGTAATTCTGAATCCGGGAAGCAACATTACAAATTGTCGAATAATTAATTAGGAAGAAAGACACATGCGGTGAATTTAATAAATAGCTTTCGAAAAACGTATAAAGTGACGGAATAACTATTCAACAGTATTTCAAACTTGAACATTTAATGATTAAGACCGAACATTTCCTGGAAATAAAGCAAGCGTAAATACCTTTAAGGAAGATTCCATCCATTTTTACTCATTGTATCCCGCTAAAGGTCAAGAGTTCACAGCTCATAGGTCGGCTGTTTGCTCGGTAGTCGACCCGGCCACAAGCGACCCAATTAAAATACTCCAAGCCGCCAGCCGGGGCCATTGAAATTCCGCGTCGTAATCTTGTACAAATACGAAGTACATAAATAAATTCGCCAAAGGTCGCGGCGACACGTCACGCCACGCCGTGCCGCGCCGCGCCGCGCCACACGTCCACGCGGCCGCCCCTCGCGTGCTGGCCCCGCGTGGCTCACGGCCACTGCGTGCGCTCGCGGTTCGCGATGAGAATAACAGCACACGCCGCGCCGCCTCCATGTGCTCCGTCTCCATGTCCCCGCGGCGAATTTACGACGGATTCCGCCTTTGCTCAAGCAAAATAAAACGCACGCGGTATGCACGGTGTCGCCAATAAAACATTCTCGATTATATGATAGGCAATGCTTAAAAACGGATCGAGTAAATTCGATTTTGCACAGAAGAATCTCCTGAGTTTTGTCATTTTCGAAATAAAAAAATCGAAGTCGAAAAAACACATCAACCTATGGGATGTGTTACTTGTAACAATGTAGAAATTGCACATTAATTAAAGTTACTGTACATATATTATAACCCTAAATCTTATAATATGTGTTAGATTCTTTTAGTAATACTTTAAAAAATGGGTATGGTATGTTTATTTCAAATATTTTATTATTTTTACTTATTTTCTTATCTTTTGAGTATTTTTACATTCCAGTATTACATGGCCAATGGTTATGGAGAAACGCAGAATGTATTTAAGTTGCGAGTTGATTTGCTTAATGTTCACGAGTTATTCTAATATTCAATTCTCAATCCTGTATTATGTCGTAGGTTCTATTATTTTCATAACTCTCATATTTTCAGCTTTAATGTAGTTTTGAAACCCTTAAATGCAATGTAACTTCTTTATTGAAATATGAAGAAATATTGGTAGTACGTTTTGAAAACCGAACGCCCAAATCCAACCTCTATTGCAGTAAGCACGATTTTCAGAGAGTACAGAAAAGTAAAGTCGGATTAAATTTTCAGCCGTGTTGTAGAAGACGCTGATTGGAATTCACACTTTGCTAGTAGTATTGCGGTAATTGGAATACATTTTTTACCATTAACATAAATAATAAAATACTATAAAAATACGATAGAAGATTTGTATCATTTGATTAAAACTTGTTCTTTAATTTTCCTT